ATGTATGCTGTTTAGGTTTAAGGAACAACTTCTGGAAGAAGAATTCAATAGCATTTTCTGATTATGATATGTTAGCTGGAAAGTGAGAAAGGAACACTTTGTCAATTCTCATTGGGGTTTTAAAATATGTAAAGCCCAAGCTGATCAATTTGAAACATGTGGTCATATAATGCTTAGTTTTGTAAGATTATAGAGTTAAATCAACGATGAACTGGGAGTAATTTTCTTTATTCTCTTTCATTCTTTTTTTTTTGAAACTGAACAAGCTTTCCAATCAAAAACAGTAGGATAAATTTACAGTTCTGGAATGTTTCAGACATTACATTATTGGCAAATATAGAAGCTATCATCATACTTCATCACCGTCTACGGTACAATTCAGCTGTTGTCTTTGTGAGTGTTTATACTCACAGGCCCTGTCATAAATACACTTGAATAGTAGATTTCTTTTGTTCCAAAAGTGTTTTTCCAATATTATGTTATGGAGATAAAACAGAAAGTGATAACAACATTCTTAACCTCAATAGTTTGTTAGAAAATTTAAATTAATTTATGAAACTACTTGGATTATACTCCAATAGTAGCATGCTCCAGGTGGACAGGAAGGGGAGAGATTATTATGGATGAGTGCAGCCAGGAAAGTTTTGTGCAGGTGGTAGGAATTTTAGATAGCTAACATAATTTTCCAGAGCATCTAGCCTATTTTTTTTCCAAAATATTTCATGAATCCTAGAGTAAAAATTGATGTTTCTCCTTGTACAGCAAATAGATTGTGGAAATGTATTGTTAAACTTGCTAATTTATTTAATGACCATGTATTGAAAATCTACTGTGTGTTAAGTATTGTGTTTGAAATATAGCTTGCACTAGATCAAGCTCCTGTCATGAAATGTAGGTATGGTCAAAATCTATAATGGAAGGACCAGCTGTTAAATTCGATGTTAGTCTGGACCTCCAAAATCACAGATAAAAGTGGTTGTTAGTCATATAAAGATTAATATGAATGAATCGAAACATCACAAATAATTGCTTATACTTGAATGTTAGAAATTTGAAGGTAATAAAAATGTTTTCAGATTTTTGCTTAAGTCTTAGAATACATGTCTTAAGCATTCACACAAAATCAGTAACTGTTCTGTATATAGCATGTAATGGGTGCTAGAGAAATTACTTCATGTTTCATGCCCAAGGTCTGCTGCAGAATAAACTTTCCACAATTCTCGTGGTTTTTTTAAGACAGTGGGGGGTTCTGTACATTAGAAAAACTGGCTCTCATCTCTAATGAGATGCTGGCATACATTACATAGTTTGAATCTGCCTGAATTCCCTCAGAATTTTCAGTTAGACTGTGAGGTTGGTGGAGGCAGGGTTGTGACCAGACTTTACAGGATAATGTCTCAATTCTTTTATGCCTGCTTTATAGAACTGTTAATTCCTGGTTTCTTTCTGTTGTATTATTCTTGGTAAACTGTTAATTAGTAAACTGTATGAATGCTGTACTTTGAGATCTTTAAACATAAAAATATTTAGAGGAAACCTTAGATATGGCATCAGTAACTTAGTAGGCCACTGTTACTGATTCATCAGATGCATATTTAGTGTTTCTGAATTTTTTAAATAAATGATAAATACAAATATTTTTATTTGAACCAAGAAATGTATATTTTTATGAAACAAAGGCTATAATCTAAGAATGAATTTAGTTTTTTTAGAGCAGAAGAAAAAGAAGAAACAAAATTTATTGTCAAATTGAATCCAGTCCCCAAAAACTGCTAGAGGGAGAGTAGTTTTTGTTGTGGGGAACCAGACATTCAATTGCTTTTGCATGTTAAAAATTTTCTTCTCAGACATTTCTATTATAATCAACTATTATCTTACTGAGTGTATAAATATCATTTATATGGGAAACAGACCAGAAAACCATTCAAGTAAAATAGAAAACAGCATAATTCGCTTTTGGACAAGGAGTAAAAGAGCAAAATGAGGACCTGAATTTCCTTGCTTGGAACCAAAACCTGATTTATGGCCACTCCACAATTTGCTTTTGGAGTAGGAGATTCCCTGGGGAAGCCTGGGACTCCAGTGGTCCTCACAGGCACAACTTTAAGAACCAGCCCAATTCTGCCTGGGACTGCACAGTCTAGCACTCATATTCTTGATTAACCAAGTAGGAGATTCAAATATGTCCTGCCAATTGGAAATCAAGTTATATTTTTATGTATTCCAATAAGCTGCTGACAAGCTTCTTGCCCTAGGTATTTATTTAATCCTTTGGGAAATTCCATCATATATGATCTATGCCCTACTGAATTTTAGGCTACTAACAAGGAAAATAAAGCATTTGCAGCATGTCCTATTTATTTTTTTGTTATTTGTGTAAGAAAATCACACATTTTATTTAACAAAAACTAGCAGTTTATCAACCTGCAAATTTTTCTACTTATTTTAAGTCCTTAAAAAAAGACCACTTTGAACTTTGTCATTTTTCCTGCTTTTTTTTTTTTTTCCACTACCCTCAAATGCATTAGGACATTATTGTCTTCTCCTTTTTCTGGAGATGTGTTTCTGAAAGCCCTTAGCTCCTGTTCCAGTCTCAGTAAGATTCCCTCTGAACAGTTACACAGCTGCTGTCCGGGAGTATCTCTGTCATCCTGGGAGTTCTACTGGCTTCCATGCCACACGGGATCTCTTATTTCCTTGATTTTGTCTCCTCTTTTCTTTTGGTTTATTCCCATGTCTTGCTAGAGTACATCATCTAGTAGCTTCTGGTGAAAGGAAACATCCGAGGAAATTTTTTTGTCCTTTATTAAAAATGTTAGAAAACATTGAGTTAAAATCTGGGGTTCATGTACTTCTTTTTTCCTTTCCTTTTCTTTTTGGCTTTTTGAGGCAGGGTCTCACTATGTAGTTCAGGCTGGCCTTGAATTCACTATGTAGCCTGAACTCACGATGTTCCTCCTGGGATTACAAGTGGCATGAGCCACTACCCCCATCTTCATGTGCTTACAAAGACTTGTACCTAATCTATCTCTTCTTATTACCTCATCATCCAAAGAGCTGCTGCCTCCAGTTCATGTAAGCCAAACTGACTGGTCCCATGGGTGCTTTCTCTATAAGCATTCTAACATTGGTTCCCAACACTCAGTGTTTTTCTGACCTCTTCAAGCTCATCAACAGAGCTTCATTCGAAGTAGATGGCTTTCCAACATTATTCTGGCAGCTTTCTTTACCCAAAGAAAGAACAAACATGTACTCTGCTATTATACACTGTAGTTACAAATCCTCTTTATAAAATATTTTTCTTTTCAACTTACTGTTGTCAGACCTGGGATATAGGATTAATTTTAATATTTTTGAAGAAATTAAAGTTTCATATTTCTAAACTTCAAAAAAGAATTAAACTTATTCTTAGGCCATTAATGTGTTTATTAGATCATCCAGAATCCCAAGTAATCCTTTAATTTCTGTTATGGTAACTGAAGAAAACCCAATATGAAATAATCAAAGAGATAGCATTTTACACCAGCTTGATTAGGATAAAGCCTACTAGTTCTGAAGAGACCAAAAAAAAAAAAAAAAAAACCCTAGATGAGAATTAATTAACTAATTTTGTGATACTAGCCATCAAACCCAAATCCTTACACCATGCTACGCAAGGGCTTTGCGACTAAGCAACACCTCAGCCCCGGAATTTTAAAATCTCAAATGGAAAATATTCCTTCTCTTCCTTGAAGACTTCTGTTGATAAGACTCTTTGCTTCACTTTTTCACTTAACCTGCCATTATTGTATGTTTTATGCCAGACTTATCAGACTTCTGGTCTCTCACAGTGTTTTCACTGTGAGTATAAGAAAATGAAGAGAAACTGTGCTTAATGAGTAAGGACATAGAAGTAATACTTTAAAGCCTAAATAAAAATAAACTTTGCTTTTATTTTATTTGTGTTATTTTTAACCCAAACATTCTTATTTTAGTTAATTATATTATGTATTAGATATGAAAATCGATGTAGATGAATTGATTTCACAACTGCCATTTAGAACTGTATATTCTTAATATGCTACTATAACTCCCCATTAATTTATAATTTTTTATTTGTCCTTCAAGTGTTTTCAAATTCTTTATTTTTTCCCATAATTTAGATGATTTTTTTCTTATCTAATTTCTGTTAAAAGCAAGACAGTATAGGTGCATAGCTTTCTAACAGAATTTCCTAACTTCAGTACGAAAACAGATCATGTGAAAAGGCAGATTCTGGGGATGGGGCTTAAGAGACTGTATTTCTATTTAATAAACTTCCCAGATGCTGATGTTGCTGGTCCTTCTAACAACACTTAATTAAATAGCAAAGATCTAGATTACCTAGGGTGTGGGAATAAATTGACCCCTTCAACATACAGAATCTATTTTGAAATATCTAAGGCCCTTGAGTTTCTAGAATTCAGTGGGGGACTTTGCATTATTGTTTTCTACCAAGTACATCTAAATAGTACTTGATATTTTGCTTCTTATGGATTTTTAAAAAATGTTTTACATTTGGGGCTGGAGGGTAGCTCAGTGGTATAGCACTTACTTGGATGTGCAGAGCTCTGGGTTCAGTACTTGGGACTACATACACATACATACAAAGTTTCGTATTTGAAATATTTAATATTTGTAGGTTACTGCTTAGAAGTAATTCCAGTATTATATTTTCATTTGTTAATATGTTTCATGTATTAAAGATATAAACTGTATTTCTCATAATGTCTTTGAAGAAAAAAATATTATACTTGATACCTTCTAAACTTCAATTTGCAAAGCATGGCAAAATATAGATCTCTTTATAGCTTTGAGTCATTAGGATCTTACTATATGTACCATTTTATGGTTATACAAACATAAAACCACAGCAAATAATTTAAACAAGTTAGAAACTAGCTTTAATGAAATCTGTTCTTTGCTAATTAAATATTAGCTATGAATAAAGAGTAATGCTTTTCTTTCTTTTTTAAAAATAGCTCAATCACTGAAAGAATTTGCAAGGCTACTTATTACAGTAGAAGAAGAAAGACGGAGACTGGTAAGTCTGTTCCCTATTTTAAAATAATATTTCTCTGAGCATATTTAAAAAAAGACTAGATCTCCTGAATTAGCCTACAAGACTTTATTATTTAATATATGTACTAAATGCTACATTTTATTAAAAGGTTTGGGAGTATAATCATCAAATATTACTAATATGATACACCATTCTATTTATTTCATTTATTCAACAGATGTAAATTACCTTTATTTTGGTTACCAATTTAATTGGTCTGAGATTAGAAATGCTGAACAAACTGCCATTAGGAAGCAATGATGATGAAAATGGGAAAAAGTGATTAGAGATGTGGAAATTAAGTTGAAAGTGACATGGAAACTAAGGGAATATACAGTTCTGGGTGGGTGTAGCTATGATTCAGATCCTGTGCAAGTAGTTCAGAAGAGCAATAAACCCATTGGTGGGGGTTATAATTTAACAAATGTGTTAATGGATATCAAACAGTTTGTTGTAGTGTGTGGGAGGAAAGAAACCCAAGAGAATGTACACAGCACCAAGGAGAGTTTGTGCTCACCAGAGTAGAAAAGCTGTTCCTTGGAAGAGGAGAAGAGGAAGAAAGAATTGATGAAAACATAGTAAAATTTGGAACAGTAAATTAGCTGAGTGGAGAGGTGATGAATACTGTAAGGAATGAGTGGTTCCCTGTCTGTGAGCAGAAGATAGTTTAAAACAGCCAGAGACAGGTTATTCAAGAAAAGAATAAAGGGACTGCTGATAAGTGATAAAGAGCCATTGAGGTTAGACATAAATGTATCAAGAAAGACCAGCTGCCATGTTTTCTTGATTTCCTAGTAAAATTCAATATTGGCCTATGAGCAGTAAGTACAGTTGGGAGGTCAGATTCAGGTTAAAAGAGTGGCACAGAAGACAAGGTATTAAGGGGATGTATTAAGGGGATGTATTAAGGGGATATGGATTTGTATAATATGAAAGTTGGTCTTGGTTGCTTATATGAAAATTGAAGCAGAATGGTACCAACAGCCTTAGAAAGCAGACAGGGGAGTGTGACTATTTATCAGGGGGTTCACTGGGAACAAAGGCCAGTGAGTGCGGCACTTTAGGAATGGTTGGTAAAGAGTGGAAGTTGGAGTACTAACTGGCTATGGAGCTGTGAGGTTGAGATGTAGCTGACCTGGGAAAGAGGCCCCAGGAATCGAGAAAGCCCATCTCAGCAAGATCTTGAGGTCTTCCAGTATGATGACAGGGTAAAGGACAGAGATTAAGGAGAGGAAATGGCTGAGGAATATAGTAGAGAATTGTATAAACCATGGAGATGAAGTTTGAAATGCCAGATCTTAGTGCTTGAAAGATCTTCATTTCTGCCTCTGGGCATGTTCTAATGTTTGGGAAAGAGGAAATTTTGCTTTTGCAGGTGAAGTCGTATCATGGGTATAAACTGCTTTACCTGTTGTTTCAGAGATCTACTATAATATGCACAGTAATGAAATAATCTCTATAGATAAACGCCTAATACAATGTATTTCCACAAAGATTATATACAAAACAATCATTAAACCCACTAATCTAAATACTGGAGTGATAATCAACACTTCCAGTCTTATGGTATGATAACACTTTGAATGCAAAGATGAGTCAGTAAATTTGTGTTTTAAAAATTAGTGTTTTATTTGGAAAGAAGAATATTTTAAATGTACTGGGAAAATAGAAAAGAACTCTATAATTATAAAGCCATTTAATTATTGTTTTTAATTGATAAGCCATAAGTATATATTAATTAGGTTTGACCAACATCTTAAGAAGGTCAGAACACTAAGCAAAAAAATTAAATCTCATGATAGATGAAAGAGGGTACTTAGCACTTTATAGTTTAAATAAATTTTTTTGTTGCTAGTGATTTACCATACTTAGTAAGATGAATAATTATGTCATATTGGTAACTTAATGACTATTTGCAGAAAAAGAGCCCCCAGAAACACTGACTGTAGAAATGGAATCTCTTCTTAGAATTCAAGGGTTTTTTCCCCCTAATTTCTGCTAAAATCAAAAGAAAATGCACTTTTTTTTGTATTAAATTCTTTTATTGGTACATTGTAGGTATACAACACAATTACATTTCTCATTCGGAATTGTACCTTTATATAATGCATCTTGGTTCTTATTTTTTCCCCATTCCTAGCCCTCCCTTCACACCCTCCACCCTTCCCTATTTACAAAGACTTTATTTCCATTTCTCATCATTTTTTCCTTTCCCTTTTTTCCTTTCCCCTGCCCCTCCCACTACCCCAACTCTTTGGACCTTTTCTTCCTATTTTACATTATCGATTATTCATTCTAATCATTGATACATTTTAGGTATACAATATAATGACATTCATCATTGGAAATTTGCACCTTTACATAGTCTCTCTTGGTTCTTATTTTTCACCCTTGCCCAGCCCTCCCTTCAACACCTCCAGTCCTCCCTATTTACAAAGATTTTGTAGAAAATGCATTTTTAATGGAACAAAAAATTAAGGAAAGGAATAGAAAGTGCATTTTTGATGGTAGCATTTTCTGTCTCAGGCTTTTTAGTAGAAAAATCATCTTCCATAATGCAGCATTTTCCAAAATGTTGAATGACACCTGCCATCTCATGGTCATATTAAGAATGGCCTTTTAATGACACATATATAAGAACTTATTTAATAGTCCTTTGTACCAGCTGTAATACTTACTATATAAAAGTTCACCATCTTTTTTTAATTGTTCAGGTAGACTTTTTGAAAAAGTACATCTTTGTTGGAAACATTAGACTTTTACCTCACAAAATACAGCACTTAAAATCATTTTAATTAGAAGTACCGAAGTGTGTGCAGATCCTAGTGACAAGCTGGTATGGACCAGAGCAGCACAGCTGCAGGCAGGTCCAGCCAGGGGCCCACCCCAACCACAGTGGCTTGGGCCCATAGGCCCCAGCCAAAGGCCTACCTGGAAAAGAGTTGCACAGGAACACAAGCAGCAGCCAGAGTCCTTCCCAGATTCCATCCATGAGTGAGCACAGACCTTAGCCTGAAGCCTGCTCAGACACTAGCAACTGGGGTGCACAGCCCCTAGCCAAAGGACCTCCCAGACAACAGCTGCATAGTGGGGCAGGCCCTAGCCAGAGGCATGCCTAGATACCATCCCAAGTATACCCAGGCCCCAGGCATAACCCTGCCAAGACAACAGGACAGCACAGGGATCCAGAAGGCCATCACTCTGAACCCTGGAATTGGTACAGTGGTAAGCAACAGAATAAAGGCCTCTCTGAGGCTTGCTGAGAATTGAAGCCCACTGGGCAAGCAAAGAGTCACCCAACAAAGGCTCAGCAGACTGCATCTGTTCAAATTGACAAGACATGTAATTGAGTCTCAAAACAAGACTGCCAGATCACATAAGGCGACCTCAAACGGCAATGAGATAGAACAATTGATACTCAACCACCTGGACTCCCTGAACTGGCAACAAAAGAGTATCTGGAAAAAATGAAATCAAATAATTTCTCAGATAACAGCAGAGATTGTGCCCATAGTGCAAGACATGATTAATTACTCTAGAGCAGACACAGATAAAAAAATAGAGGAGCTGAGGAACATGATGAAATCCGAACATAGAAAACAAATAGAATCCATAAAACAGATGCAAACAGATTTCCAGGAGATTAAAAACTCTGTTGAATGTTTACATAGCAAAATGAGCCAATATGAGGACAGAATTTCAGATATAGAAGACAGGTTTGCAGTTAATGACCAGGAAAAGAAAGATTTCTTAAAAATAGTAAGGGACCATGAGAAATCAATCCAGCAGCTGCTAGATGATGCGAAGAATAGCATAAGACTGATTGGAGTCAATGAAGAAACAGGAGAGAGTGCAAATGACATAAATGTTCAAAGAGGTAATGGCTGAAAATTCCGAAGCAGGATAAAAGAACTTGACCTACAGGTAAATCAGGCATATAGGACTCCATCTAGCCATGACCAAAACAAATCTATGCCTATGCATATAATAATTAGGATTCTAGAAAAGCAACAGAAGAACAAATTTCTACAAGCAGGTAGAACAAAGAAACAAATCACATACAAAGGAAAGCCCATCAGATCGCAGAAGACTTCTCAACACAAACCATCAAGGCAAGAAGAGCCTAGAGCAAAGCATTTCAAGCCCTAAAAAGAAATAACCTCCAAACCAGATTGATGTACCCTGAAAAACTATCTTTCAAAATTGATGGAGAAATAAGACACTTTCATGACAAAGAGCACCTAAGGAACTTCATGAATACCAAACCAACACTCCAAAAAATTTTAAACAATATCTTAGGAAAAGACAATGAGGATCACAATCCCAGGAACTCCAGCAGAATGAATCCATCAGGCAAGACAAGAAATTAAATGCAAAAGGGGAGAACCCAACAAAAAGAAAAGTCATGACAATGGTAAGTCAATACATATTAGTTATAATCATCAATGTTAATGGTCTCAATTCACCAGTCAAAAGAAACAGACTGGAAGAATGGATCAAGAAGCAAGATCCAACAATATCCTGCATACAAGGAACACACTTAATTCAAAAAGAAACTCATAGACTGAAAGTCAAAGGGGAGAAAACAATACTCCATGTAACACAAACCCAAAGAAAAGCAAAAGTAGCTATCCTATTGGCAGATCAAATGGATTTCAGACTAACACTTATGAAGAGAGGATGCTACATTCTTATAAAGGGAAAAATCCAATGGGAAGAAATGACAATCATAAATATATATGCACCAAATGCTAGTGTACCCAGCTATATAAAACAAATATTAATGGACATGAAAAGTCACATAAGCACAAATACAATAGTAGTGTAGGAACCTCAATACCCCACTGTCACAAATAGATAGATGCACTAGACAGAAAATAAACAATAAAATACTAGAACTCAATCAAACTCTTGAACAAATGAACATAACAGATGTTTACAGAGTGTTCCATCCCACAAAATCAGAATACACATTCGTTTTG